CGACGACGACGATGATGGTAACGGTGGTTATGACGAAGACGATGACGTTGTTGACGATCTTGTTGGTGATGATGTAGAGGAGGAGGCGGAAGAAGAGGGCGGCTGTCACATGTGACGCTTTTGCGTCCCCAGTTTTTGAGGAGGTCTCATGGAGCTCATTTGGGTTGTATTGGGGCTCTTCGGGGCTGCTGTGGGGCAGTCGAGAGGGTTCCTTGGAGCCCTCCTGGGCCGTCTTGGGGTTCTTTTGGATCGTCTTGGGGCCCCCCTTTGCCGCCTGGAGGGGCTCTTGTGGCCGCCGGGCTGTCGAGGGACCTTGTGAAGCCGTCGTGGATCTTTCTGGTGATCCTCTTGGGCCAGCTCGGGTCCCTCTTGAGGCCGTCGATGGGGGGCCCTCCTGAACCGCCATGAGACCTTGTTGGTGGCCTCTTGGCTCACTCTGGAGCCACTGGGGCCGACTGGAGCTGACGGGTGTCCAAAGGTGTGCCAACATTTCTACGGACATCGATGGTTCGGGCCTCTTCGGGCCTCTTTCTGGGGTCCTCTTTGACTCCGCTTTGGCCATCTGGGAGGCTTCTTGATCATAGTAAAAGCATATTTGACAATCTTGGCGGTCTCGTTCAGTGTCTTGGGGTTCACAGAAAAAGGATTCCGAGTGGATTCCGATGAGGTCCCAGTCGGTTTCCATGAGGATGGATTTCCATAGGATGCCAAGGGCATCCGAATTGGATCTCCACAGGACCACAGTAGGAGGGATTCCAAGAGGCTGTCAAGATGTTTTCAACAAGAAGGCTTCCGATTTCACTCCAGTGAAAATCCGACCTTTTACCACTCACACGCTACAGATAGCGAAATGCCCCCCTTACGTGAAGCCACGGAGATTTCGGATTTGGTGAACATGTGTTGCTACTTGTCTTTACTGCCTGGTTGTGTCGTTGTCTTCTGGCTTGCAAGTCGCCCTTCATGGAATCCATGCCAGCACAGAGGCCCGTTTGGTTGTGAAGTGGCCGTTCTGGTTGTAATGTGACCCGCACGCCTAGGGGGGGGGGCGGCGTTGTTTGGCCTCAAGCCTGGCCCTTGCGTCGTGAGAAAATGGCGGCCGTTATGGTGTGGCCTTTTTGGCTTGTGGGGGCCGTCATCGGGCCCTGGGAACCATGAACAATCAACGCAGGACGCAAAGCTGGTCCCCGGGAAGGGTTCACAACGTCTGGGGTCTCACGTCGCGCCATCTTCATATCGTCAGGGTCTTCGACGATTGAGGCTTGTCTCGGGCATTCAGGAGGCCTGCAGAGGTCTCATGGGGGCCTCCTTTGGAACCTCCGGGGGCTTACCGAGGTCTCCAGCAGAAGACCTGTGGAAGCCCAGACTCCTTCCAAGGAGGGCGCACCCGCCTCCGGCGCCCGCTGCTCATGGCGGCCAGCTTGGTTCAGCGCTGGACATCGAGGGAGGAAGCACGATGACCATGACCACGACGTCGCGGGATCTTGTCGACGCCGACCTTGGACATGGCCCATGCCGGCTCGCGCAGATTCGGGAGGATGACCCCCGAATGTACGATGAGGGCGATGGACACGATCGACACTTGCATCTGCATGCCCCTTTGTGGGTCATGGCCACCGTTGCACTGAGGAAGCATCACCGAGCGCGTTCCACTACTCGCAAAGCGCCTACTCGCAAACGTCCGAAACACACATGCCTACTTCGATGTAATTTATCGTAGATCCCAGGGGGGGTGTCAACACGAGTAGTCGCATTGTGTGGCCCAGTCTCGCCTCCTCCCCCCGCGCTTCCCCCCCGTGTCCCCTTCCTTTCGCACCCTTCCTGCCCTCAGCCCTCCTCCTCGCTCCCACGCTCCTCCCCCCCCGAGGCATTCCCGCCTGCAGCGTCGCGTCTCCTTTCCTTTCCCCGCACATCCTCCTTCCCGGTGATTTTTTCCTGGGCTCCCCCCCCTGCGTGCTCCCCGCACACCTCGGCGGATACAGGCCATTTGCGAGTAGTTGCTTGGCGAGTAGTGGAACGCGCTCGTCGAAAGCAGCACAGGCGTAAATTTTGGTAGCTCCGCGCCGAGGCCGCGGATCGGAGGCAGGGCCACCCGGCGTCGCCCTCGGCGCCACCCCTGGTGCGCTCCGCGTGCTAGGTCGGGTATAGCCAGGAACCCAGGTAAGGGGACCTAGTTAGTAGTACGGCCCCGGAGCTCCTAAATTCGCCAGAATCGCCAAACCAGGTCTGCGGTAGCTGGTGTTTTTCGGATGACGGCAGTTCCGGTTAGTGGAACGGGGCTTTTGGGGCGCCCCCCAGTACACAGTTCTAAACCAGGTCCCACTAAACCCAGTTCTGCCAACGCCCGACGGGGGGGGGGGTCCGGCGCCACTCCGAGAAGTTCGCGCGGACCTCTGACAGTTTCTGTCTGTGCAGCGTTCTCGTTTCCAGGTCACTCTTCCCCCCCAGGACGTGCGTCAGCGCATGGCTCAGATCAAGGCGCAGGGCGCGTCGAGGCGCTGGGAGGCGGCCGTGTCCACGCTCCAGGGCGCGCGCGGCCGCGCGGAGGCGGACAGCCGTCTCTTCACCGCGGCGCTCGGCGCCTGCGCGGCGGCCCAGCAGTGGGCCCGCACCCTGGACCTGCTGCAGGCACTGGCGAGCGACCGGTTGTCCCTCGACGCGATGTGCTACACCCCCGCGGTGATCGCCTGCGCCAGGATCAGGGGCTCTGGTACCAACCAGGTGAGCCTTGTGTGCCCTCGAAGAGAGTTTTTCGATTGCATTTGGACATCGATGAGCGCCGATTTAGCGTCGAGTAGCGTCCATGCCGCGTCGAGTAGCGTCGATCAGCATCGATGAGCCTCGATGAGCGTCGGTGAGCGTCGATTCGCACGAGCCCGCAAGATGGCGGGAGGCTCCCGTGAGTTCCCATAGCATCGATAGGTAGGGGTAGGCTGAGGTTTGAGGTTCTCGAGTGATGGCCCCCAATGTGGACGACGAGGATGGCCTGGGGAGGATGGGCTCAGGGGGGATGCATCGACCCCCCCACGCGCCTACTCAGCGCCGATGGGGGCCTGATAGCCAACTCCGCCTGTGAACATGCGGTTCTGCGGTCGGCGATCGATCGGCGATGCATCGCAGATCTATCGCAGGATCGCCTGGGAGCCTATCATCTATCGGCATCGCCGATCTATCGGGTACGTATCGCCGACTCGGGGTCGATGTTCACCGACTGATTCCCCCAACTGAACTCGGGGGTTGCTAGAGGTGCCTCTGGCACAAGGGGTCCCCAGCTTTTCGCTCCATGTGGGAGCCCCTGGGCCCCCTGGTCTTTGTGAGGGGTGCTCTGGAGGCCGTTGGAGCCTCCTTGGCAATCCTTGGGGCCCCTTTGGCAAGGGACACTTCTAGCAACAATCGGCGGCGAGCGAGGGGGGAATTGAGACGGAGAAGGCCTGCTGTCAAGGCGGCGGGGCTTCTCAGAAGCGCTCGGGCCTTCTGAGAAGTTCTCTGCGTCTTTGGGGAAGGCTCACAAAACTTCTCTGAAGGCCGGGGGTCACTTCGAGCATTCTGAGAAGTCCTTTTCCTTGTCACTTCTCCCCCTCGCTCGCCTCTCAGGCGGGGCCGCTGGGCGGAGAGCGTGGGCCTGCTGCGCGCGGGCCTGGAAGGGTCTGGCGGGGCCACGCGCGCGGTGTCCAACCTTCACACGTACTCGGCGGCCATCGGGTCGTGCTCGAGTGGATCCCACTGGCCCCGCGCGGCAGCGCTGCTGGAGGACCTGGCCTGCAGGGGGCTCGTGCCCGACCAGTTCTGCTGTGGCGCCGCGATGAGCTCGCTCGAGAAGGGGGGCCAGTGGAGCGTCGGACTGGCTCTCCTCGACACGGAGGTGGCTTCCACTGGGACGTTGCACGTTGTCACCTGCAACTCGTTGGTGAGCGCGTGCGAGAAAGGCGGGCATTGGGACGCGGCGTTGCGGGTCTTCGCCGACATGCAGCTGCGGCGGCTGAGGTGCGACGTGATCACTTTCACCTCGGTCATCTCCGCCTGCGCCGGGACGGAGCAGCGGTGGGAGGTGGCCGTGGCGCTGCTGGAGGACATGCCGCGGTTCTGGGCAACTCCCAACATCGTGACCTACAACGCTGCGATCAATGCCTGCCAGCGGGCGGGCCGCTCGGAGCGGGCGCTGGCGCTGCTGGCGGAGGCTCGCCGCCGTGGCCTGCGGCCCGACGAGGTCGCCTGCGACACGGCCCTTCGCGCGTGCGAGGCGGCGGGGAAGTGGCTGCTGGCGCTGGAGCTCTGGGGCGAGCTGGCGCGCGCCGCCCCCAGGCGGGGTCTCACCGCCTGCAGCTCCGCGCTGGCCGCGTGCGAGGCCCGCGGGCCGCGGCCCCAGTCCGTGCACCTGGCGCGCCAGCTGCGCGACCGGTGCTGGGCCCTGCTGCCCGCGGGCGCCGCCGCCGCGGAGCGGCACGGAGGCCTCGATTTCGAGGCCTTCGAGGCCGTGGACGCGCTGCGCGAGCGCGAGGCAGCCGACGGTGCCCTGGCGCGCGCCCTCGCCAGGCGGCTGTACGCGCCAGTCCTCGAGCGGCTCCGGTGGCTGGCCGCCGCGGGCTGGCGCCCAGCGGCGCGCCAGGGCGACGCGCGCCTGCAGGAGCCGGTGCTGGAGAGGCAGCCAGGCATCGGCCAGAGCCTCACCGCCCGTGCGCTGCGGGTCGTGGGTTGTGCGCCCGTGGGCGGGGCCGCCGCGCCGTCCTGGGCTGGCCTGGCGCGCCGCGCCGCGCGGCGCGACCTGCCGCGCGCGCTGGGCGAGGCTGTGGCGGCCGCGCCCTCGGGGCTGGAGTCCGGGCCGGAGCTCCGAGGAGGAAGAGGTACGGATACCGCTGAGTTTTCGAGACCACTTGCGAGCCCTAACCGGACCCAGCGGATAATAGATCAGACCCCCCTTCCCCCGTGAGAGTTGATGATCCCCGGCCAAGGCAGAGTGGGTCGGGAAGGAGGGGGGGCGAAGGTCGATCTTTACTATCGGGGGAGAAACTTACGAATCGAAGTTGCTATCTTCTTGTATGTAGAAGGGCACTACTATCACAAACGTGTGGCAGGGTGATGGGATTCTCACCATGTCAGCTTTCCCCAGTCGCGAACGTTCGCGAGAAACGGTTCCTGGCGAGGAGTGCCAAGGATCTGAAGAGCACGTGCAAGGTTTCGGCTTCTGACGAGAAAGACTGCGAGCGACCTCTAGGCCGTGCCCTCCAGAGGAAAACAAATTCGTCGTCTTCGCCGTCATACATCCCACGCGCGACGTGCCGGGACAAATTGTTGATCATCCCCCGGGGACCTGGAACTTTATCATCCCCCCGGGTGTTATTCTCAGGGGCAGTTGGTTAACCTTGCGGGTCAGCCGACGCTGGGATATCGGATGCCCCCGCTTGGGCTCTTCTGGGTGCAGACGTCCTTCGAACTCTGAGCCCCAGCAGGCGTGTCAGACATCTGACCTGCAGGGCGGTCGGGTTCACATTTGGCTGCCTGCTTTCCTGGGAGGCCCCCGTTGCCGCGGCTCGAAACCCTGGTCAGAAGGCGCCCCTGGAGCGGTCCCCGGAGCTGCCAGACACGGGTACCTCCCCAGCGCCCCCCTACTCAGGAGTGCAGCCCGGCGGTGGCGGCGTGGGCGCAGTGCGAGGTGGCCGTGGCGAGCGCGCCGTGCGGGCCGCCCGCGCACAGGTCGCGCGGCCGGGTGGTGCGGTTCGGGCAGGACGCGTGGCCTGGCGGGGCGGCGCTGGCGCCCGTGTTCCGGGAGCACGACCGCTCGCAGCACGCGGAGCGGCGAGCGTTGCTCGCCGTGGTCGGGCTCGTGCGGTTGCGGCTCCGCGGGCGGCGGCCGCACGCGGCTGGCGGCGCGGAGAGCCAGGCTTCTTGTCCGTCGTCGTCGTCGTCGTCGTCGTCGTCGTCGCCTCAGATCTGGGCGTGGCAGTTTCCTAGCGCCGGGCGATGTTGCCTTGCTTCGAATCTCGGGGCCATCACAGATCGATGCGGCTCGATGCAGCGTCGGAGCTCAGGGTCGCCGCAGGTTTCGAGGATCGAAGCTGGCGCTCTGCGGGTGTCTTGGGGGCCTCCAGGGGTGCCGTCTTGGTGGAGGCTGGGTTCCCTGCGGAGTGCTGGAAGGAACTCACCCCGCAGGATCCATTTCCATCGATCCGGCTTGATGATGATTCTATCAACTCTGGCCAGACCAGTCCGACTCGACCAGTCGATCCGTTACTGTCCGATGCTTGTATGGCGCTCTTGTGCATCCTGGCGCGGCCGATCCTTTTCGATTCCGATTTCGATGCTGTGCCGATGCAGCCAGATCCAACGCACGATGCGATTCGCTCCGATTTCCCGTTTGGATGCTGACCCGACCCGGCAGGACAGGTCCTGTGACACCCCAGCCTGCTGCGGACACAGCGCGGCTCCAGGAGGCCAGGAGGAAGACGAGCCAGGAACAGGAAGCGCACCGACACCGACGACCCTCCCTCGTTCTCGTCCTCTCGGAGATTAGCAGCGGTAATGGGCGGAGAAGACAAAGAGCATACACATTAGAGTGAGGGGGCCGAGCGGTCATTTGCTGTCCCTGGGCGCGTGGCTGAATTGGGGATCTGCGGAGCGGAGGATTATTGTTCTCGGTGCTGCTGATGATGCTGCTGTTGTTGCTGGTGTTGTTGTTCGTGTGGGTGTTGTTGCTGGTGTTGTTATTGTTGTTGGTTTCGTCATTGTCGTTGTCGTCGTTGTTGTTGGTATTGTTGGGGGGGTGGTGTTGTTGGTGGTGTTGTTGTTGCCGCTGCTGGCGTTTCTGTTGGTGATGTTGTTGATGTTGTTGTTGCTGTTGTTGTTGGTGGTGTTGTTGGTGTTGGTGTTGTTGATGGTGTTGCTGTTGGTGATGTTGTCGGTGTTGTTTTTAGTATTATTGTTGTTGTTGGTGGTGGGGTTGCTGTTATTGTTTGTGTTGTTGGCTTTGTTCATCTAGTAGTAGTACTTGTTGTTGGTGTTGCTATTGTTGTTGTTGTTGTTGTTGACGAAACCACTCACTGGCGCCCGCCCCCCCCCCGGCGCAACGTAACGCAACGCAACGCAACGCAACGCACGTTACCGCGAATCCTATGGGATTCCTATGGGAATCCGAAACGGTCTCTGCGAACCATAGGAATCCGATTGGAATCCCACAGGAATCCGATAGGGCTTTTGTGAATCCTACGGGAATCCCATGGGAATCTTATAGGAACCCTATAGGGCCTTTCTATGAATCCTATTGGAATCCCATCGGAATCCGATGGGAATCCTATAGGGCCTTTACGAATCCGTAAGGATTCCTATAGGAAGCTTGTAGTAAACCTATAGGGCCTTTCTAGGATTCCTATGAGAATCCCATAGGAATCCAATGGGAATCCTAAAGGGCTTTTAGGATTCCTCTTGGAATCCCAGAGGAATCCTTTGGGAATCCTAGTGGGCCGTTACGAATCATGTACGGGTCTTATAGGAACCCTTTCTGGGAACCCCATAGGGCCTCTACGAAACCAATAGGAATCCTATAGGAATCCCAGCGGAAGCCTATAGGGCCTCTACGAATCCTATGAGGATCCTATCGGATTCCTATGGGAATCCTAGAGGGCCTCTGCGGATCTTATAGGCATCCCGTTGGAATCCCATGGGATACCTATAGGGCCTGGTTCCTATGGGAACCCTATAGGAATCCGATGGTAATCTTATAGGGCCTCTACGAATCCTAAGGGAATCCTACAGGAATCCGATGGGAATCCTAGAGGGCTTCTCCGAGTCCTATAGGCCTATAGGAAGCCCATAGGAATCCTATAGGGCCTCTGCGAACCCTATGGGAATCCAATAGGAATCCCATACTAATCCTATAGGCCCTTTACGAATCCTATAGGAGTCCTATAGCAAAACCTATAGGAATCCTGAAGGGCCTCTGCGAATCTTCTAGGATTCCTATAGGAGTCTCATAGGATTCCTGTAGGGCTTTTACGAACCCGATAGGATTCCTATAGGAATTTGTCAGGAATCCCAGAGGGCATCTACATATCCTATAGGAATCCGATAGGGCCTCTGCAAATCCTATAGGCGTCCTCAATGTTCTTTACACGTGTCCTATAGGGCCTCCACGATTTTTTAAGGAATCCTATAGAAATCTTTTAGGATTCCGAGAGGGCCTCTACGAGTCCTATAGGAATCCTGTAGGAATCGTTTGGGCATCCTATAGGGCCCCTGCGAATCTTATAGGATTCCGATCGGAGTCCTATAGGAATTATTGGGCCTTCACGAATCCTATAGGAATCCTGCGGGAAGCTGATAGGGCTTTTTTTCGAATCCTATGGGAGCCAGCTGTAGGAATCTTATCGGAATCCCATAGGGCCTCTGGCCTCACAAGGAGCTCCTCCTAAGCTTCATTTCGGCACACCCCTCTCGGGGATCGTGGCCCTGGCCTCAGATGGAGCTCCCCCGAAGCTTCATTTCGGCAGACACTTCTCGAGGATCGTGGCCCTGGCCTCACAGAGGGTTTCTCCGAAGCTTCGTGTCGGCATACCCCTCAAGGATGATCGTGGCCCTGGCCCCACAGGGAGCTCCACCCACGCCTCATTTCGGCACACCCCTCTCAAGGATCGCGGCCCTGGCCGCACAGGGAGCTCCACCGAAACTTCATTTCGGCACACCCCTCTTGAGGATCGTCGCCCTGGTCCCACAGGGAGCTCCACCGAAGCATCTTTTCGGCACACCCCTCTCGAGGACCGTGGCCCTGGCCCCACATGGAGCTGCACCGAAGCATCATTTCGGCACACCCCTCTCGAGGATCGTGGCACAGACCCCACAGGGAGGTCCACCGAACTTTCATTTCGGCACACACCTCTCGAGGATCGTGGCCCTGGCCCCACACGGACTCCCACCGAAGCATCATTTCGGCACACGTCTCTCGAGGATCGTGGCCCCGGCCCCACAGGGAGCTCTTTTCGTTCCCGTGCTGGCCCAGCTTCTAACACGCCTCTGCCGTGCAGGAGGCACGGCGGCGGATTTGACTCCCGTGGCTCTGGTGGCCTTGCGGCTGACGTGGGCACGCTCTTCTCCCTCTCTTCATTTGTGGTTTAAGCCATTTGGGCATGCGCATCCCCCCTTTGGGGCAGGCCACTGGCGGACGCTGGGCAACACGCCGGGACCAATGGGGATTCTATAGCATCCCTTATTGATTCTATAGCATCCCTTCAAGATCCTACAGCATCCTTCAGGGATTCAATAGGAGCCCTTCTGGATTCTATAGCGTCCCTCAGGGATTCTATAGCATCCCTCAGGGATTCTATAGCATCCCTTAAGAATTATATCGCATACCTTTCTGAGGATTCTATGGCATCCCCTTAGGAATTCTATAGGATCACTCAGGGATTCTATAGCATCCCTTTCAGGATTCTACAGCATCACTCAAAGATTCTACGGCATCCCTTCGGGATCCCATAGCATCCCTGAGGGATTCTATCGCATCCCGTGGGGATTCTATAGCATCCCTTAGGGATCCTATAGTATCCCTCGGGGATTCTATCGCATCCCTTAGGGGTTCTATAGCATCCCTGAGGGATTATATAGCATCCTTTAGGGTTTCTGTAGCCTGTAGCATCCCTTAAGGATTCTATCGCAGCCCGAAGGGATTCTATGGCAGCCCTAAAGGATTCTATGGCAGCCTTTCTAGGGATTCTATGGCAACCCTCAGGTTTTCTATAGCATCCGTTAGGGATTCTATAGCATCCTTTAGGCATTCCATAGCATCCCTTAGGCGTTCTGCAGCCTCCCCTTAAAGAATTCTATCGCATCCCTTTTAGGGGTTCTGCAGCCTCCCCTCAGGGATTCTGTAGCATCCCTGAGGGATCCCATAGCATCCCTTTGGGATCCCATAGCATCCCTTAGGCATTCCATCGCATCCCTTAAGGATTCTGTAGCAGCCCATAGTGATTCTATAGCATCCCTTCGGGATTCTATAGCATCACTTAGGGATTCTATAGCATCTTTTAGGCGTTCTGCAGCCTTCCCTGAGGGGTTTTATGGCAACCCTAAAGGGTTCTATAGCATGCCCGAAGGTTTCGGCTCTGGGGAGCGCACATCGTTTCAGCTCGTGGGAATGCGTCGGCTTTCTTAAGGATCCCTCAGGGATCCCAGAGGATTTTCCAACGGCTTCCTTTGGTTTCTGTTGCCAACCATATGTTGCGTTGCGTTGCGTTGCGTTGCTGGGAGGGGCGGTCCGGGTCCACCAGTGAGATGTTTCGCCACAAAGAGCGAAACAGCGAGGTGGTGGACCCTCACCGGGTCCACCAGCCGGTTGTTTTGCCTTGTTGTTGTTGTTGTTGTTGTTGATGCTGTTGTTGCTGTTGTTGTTGTTGTTGTTGTTGTTGTTGTTGTTGTTGTTGTTGTTGTTGATGATGCTTGTGTGTTTGATGTTGCTGATCTTGCTGTTGGTGTTGATGGGGTTGTTGGTGTTGGTGTTGGTGTTGGTGCTGGAGGTGTTGCTGATGCTGTTGTTATTGCTGCTGTTGTTGTTGTTATTGTGGTTGTTGTTGTTGTTGTTGTTGTTGTCGTCGTCCCCACCGCGACCCACCCGCGACACCCCGACCCACCCGTTCATCCGTTCCTGGAAATTGGCGCTCGGATAGCGCGGAGGTAGGGAGTGGCAGCAGCACCGGGCACTGTTCTCATGTAAGCGACGCCTGAAAATGGGTCGCCTGCGCCGACAGTAGTGGCGCGCACGCTACCTCGCGTAAGGTCGCGCAGCGCGCAAGCGCCCCCGTTTCCAGTGCAGCGTGTCGTGTCGGCGGTGATGCGAATGTCACCGCTCCGCGGACGCGGCATGCACCCCAGATGCGTCGCTCCGCGCCCGCGGAG